AACTCATACTAACAAAAACTTCCACCCTCATTGCTTCCTCTTTCGCAGCCACCTCATTGATCCATGGAATCCATACTTCGTACTCAATAATGTTCCATCAAAATATGTCACTCAAGAAAGAAATATAGATATTCTATATAAACCATAAAGATATAGAAAGAATCAGATTTGTACATGGAAATCTAACTTAATAGGCAAGCATGAAGATACACTAGAAATGTTAAAGAAAATATACTAAAAAATGACGTTTCGGTGGCCTTACAAGCAACCAAGCAAGAATATCGAGCACTGAAACAAGAATATCGAGCGCTAAAGCAAAAATACCGAATAGTTGATCCAACGCGGCAACGCCTGCTTTATAGAAGACAAATAGAAGTAGAGATCAGAGAAAGAACACAAACATACAACCCTAAGCTTTCGTTGACGATTTTTTTTGCGATTTTGAGGCGAGGATTGAGGAAAGAACCGGACGAAGGGAGCGCCGAAAGCTTTTCGAGAGGGGAGCGCCGAAAGGATGAATCGCAAATAGTAGGGTTAGCCGATTAGGGTTGCTGCCTGTGTTTTTATATTTTAAGTTATGTACTTATATTAATATATATATATAATACTTTATATTAATTATAGAATTTATATATATAAAAATATTTATAATACTATTTACTAAATTATATATTATAATTTATAGGATTTAATATTTTAAAATTTGATAAATTTTTAATATATATAATATAACTATTTTTAAATTTCATAATATTATTTAAATTATTTATATTTCGAACAAAAACGAATCGAACACGAACGAACGGGTCATTGTTCGTGTTTGGTTCGTTTAGCAATCCGAACAAAAAAATTTGTTCGTGTTCGTCTCGTTTGCTTATCGAACGAACCGAACACGATCTGCTTCACGAATCAAACACGAACTGTTCGCGAACAACGAGCTTTTTTGACTGCCCTACTCATCAGCAAGTCGAACATGAATTGCTCGTGAATGACAACATTTTCTTACACTCCCAGAGATGATAAAATGATTTGTGTTGTTTCAGATTGTGGTGGCAACAGCGATGCTGGTACGACGTTTCAACTTTGAAATGGCACCCGGAGCGCCTCCGGTATGCTGGTGTTTTCCTCAATATTAGAAAATCATGTCTAATGCAAAGTTCTGATGTTTTTTTTTTTTTGCAAATTTGTAATTGTTAATGAAATAAGGCGCCAAATATTGTAGGTTGAAATGACAACTGGTGCAACTATTCACACCACCGAGGGTTTGAAGATGACAGTCACGCACAGATTCAGGCCTCCTGTTATTCCATCCCTGGAGAAGATGACACAAATAAATGGAGATCAGCCACTGCCACCGGACACTTGTCTTGAAGGTGACCACACAGATGAAGTAATTGCTGCTTGAATCTGATTTTAAAAAAACAAAAAAGATTTACATGCATACCACTCAATTCCTATGTATTTGCATATCTGACACCTAAATTTTTTATTACATTACCACGTTACCCATGCATGAAAAGTTGCATCACTTTTTAGAAGTTAAAATGGTGTTATTTCTTAATGTGATCTGAAAGACTTTAGTGGTATAAATGTAAAATTTAGGTTTTCGTTATGTGAATACATAGGAATTAAGTGGTATATATGTAAATGACATTTTTAGACCCTTTTGAAAGAGCTACAGTAGATATGAAGAATGATTTGGGGCATGAAAACTAACGCCCCAGTAACTTGGGGCATCATTTTGATCATTATTTATGTATATAACATATTTATGCACAATTTAGAATATTTGGCACAGTATTTTTTTTTTCTTTATGAGCAATTTTTGTGCCTATTTTTATCATACTTTTTCAAAGTATTTTGTTGCAAAATTGAACTATTTTGATTTTTGGGTGAGTTTCAATTTGGATGTCCGGATATTTCAAATACTACTAATACTACCTAAAGTTTGTATGTATTTAATATGAGATTATTATGTGGTATTTTAAAATTAAATTATGTTTAATGTAAGATTATTTTTGGTTAATTATGTGTTAAACTTAGTTATTAAACTAAGCTACAAGGAGTCTAGAACTAGTAGTTTAAAGAATTTAATTAATATTATTCATGTAATACTTTTGTGTTTTTTTAATTGCCCCACAAGTAAAATTACTTGATTTTGGATAAATAAATCATCTTCTTTTATTGGGTTTAGATCTAAGCTTTTGGTAATTTTTGTAATTTATTAATAATTTATTTATATTTATATAATTTCTTGTCTTTGTAGTGAGAATGTGTGAAGGAAACATAGTTATCACGCATTATAATAATCTTATAGACATGTTAAGGACCATACTAATCTTCTTTGTGTAGACTATTTTCTACATAGGACAACATTAATTGTCTAGCTCCCGAGTAAGATTGTTATCGGCGAAGAAGTCACGTTCGACTCGTTTAATGATTCTCGTTCGATTCATTTGTTAAATAAAGTGAGCTAAACATGAATAATATTTTTAGTTAGATTTATAAATGAACCAACATGAACAAATGTTTGTTTACGTGTTTGGCTCTTTTTGCTCTAAATAATTAACTTAAAGTATTTTATTTATATAAATGATAAAATCTATACAACAACAACAACAACAAAGCCTTAATCCCACTACGTGGGGTCGGCTACATGAATCCTTTTTCTCCATTGCGTCCTATTTAGTGTCATATTTTCATTTAGTTCTAGTAAATTAAGATCATTTTTAATA